AAAAAAAAAAAAAACTAACATATCCTTATCTTATAATCTATGTATTTGAGTTGAAAATAATATTTGAAATCGATGAGATTAGCTTCCAAATTTTTTATATTCAACAAAGATGAAATATAAGAAGAAATTCGTTGTCATCTCTTATTTATGGTTTTTGGATCTTTCATACATTTTTTTTCAATATTTATTTTCTTTTATCTTATTTTTTATGTCATTCTTTCTTTTGTTACAAAAAATTAATTTATTTCACTATAAAAGGATGAGTTTTAATAAAAATTGTCTATGTAAGAACTTTATTTATATTTTTAGTCTTTGGTTGAAATTCTTTCATATTTTTCTTTTGGCTTTATCTAATTAGCCTAAATAGGTGCTCACCCGACCACTTAAATTAAAAAATTGAAGGATGTGTAATTTATATATAATCCATATATAATATATGTATAATCGTGTGTTGTCGGTATATCATCTATTTATATTAGCTATAAAAAGTAAACAATAAATCTGGCCGGATATTTATGTAAATATTTCATAAGATTTCGGTTTTTTGAGTTTATCCATGATATGACTTCTATTATAATAATTTTAAAAACTCTCTACTAATGTTCAAAATATCTTATCTTTTTATTATGTTTGAAGTAGAAAAAAGTAAAGAGTACTTTCGAAATAATTTGTTTACATTTAAAAAAAGAATTCATGTCATACCATTTTTTTTAAAAAAAATATACTCTTTATTACACTTGAAAATCGCTATAGAAATTATCAATTAGAAATCAATATCTCTCTTGTTGAGTTTGAAAAAAAAAATCTGTCACATAATCTAATGATTCAAAACTAATATTCTTCAACGAAAAAAATATTATACCCTTGCAATATTGACTTGACTGCAGCTAAATGAAGGGGTTTCAGTTTATACCCTTCAATTCCTAGAATGTGCTAAATTGAAATTAATGATAGCAATTGTATAGCCAAAGTTTTGTTATTTGTTTGATGTCCATTTATACAAATTGACTCTTCAAACAAATATTCTTCAAAAAGAAAAGAAAAAACAACTTTTTTTTTTTAATATTGACTGATTTTTGTGATGTTTCTTTCTCTAGCATTTATGTTTACTTCATTATATATGTAAGTAAACTTTTATTCTATTTTTAAACTCTTTTTTGTTATTTAGATAAACATAGACGTGTACCCTATATATTACATTTATTTTAAAAGAAATTCGCTTTATTCAAATCTAGCTACAATATTTTAAAGAACTATAATTATAGGGTTTTAAATGTGAAAGAGTTTTATAGTTATAAGGAGTATTTTTTTTTTTTGCCAGAGGCGAAGTAGTATTTAAATAATTAGAAAAGATAACAAAAGTTCCTAACATAATTGCATATGATCATTAACCGGATTAAGTATGATAACATGATTAAAAAAAGATAAATTTTTATTTTTAATTTAAATTCAAATTTTAAAACTTAATCTATAAATTCAAAATTATCTTTTAATTCGAATATATATCTATAAAATATTTGTATTTGACTAACATAGTCTAATATAGAATAAAATTACCATATACTCTTGACATTTATTAGCTTGTCACTTGGCTTAACCATAATGCCAATTATATATGGTAACTTTATTCCTTTAATATATATATAGATAGATGGAGGAGATGACTAGTGGGAGAAGAATGTCAGAAAGAATAAATCAGGAAAAAATTAATATGGATAGATATGTTTAGGTGATAGAGAATTTTAAGAGAGGTATATTAGGATACACTTTAGTGAGAGAATCTCAAGAAAGAGATATTAGGGATACAAAAAGTTGTAGATTTTAAAATAAATTATATTTTATGGAATTTTCTAAAAGTAGCTGTAACTTATTTAAATAAGTTTTAACTAAGTTGTATTCTGTGTAAATTTCTCTTGAATCTTTTCAACCAATTGTGGTGACAGATTTTGAATTAAGAAGGGTCCATATTTTAAGCTGTTTATTCATGATTTGGTTGAGGTTGTTGAGATGAATGAATAAGATTTCTGCTTTATTTGGGCAGACATTTAAATAATTATAGATTGAACATATGGCTAAATAGTTGAATTAGTGTATTTCGGATACGAGAAGATTAATTAAAAAAAACTCAAAAAAAGATTTGTTTGTGAAATTGCATTTCGAAATGTCTAGCAATAGATTTTGCTATGTACGTATTTTTCAAATTATCAGTCTCTATACATTCCCATAATTTCTTGTAGGCATAAATATTCTCTTTAGATAAGAAGAATCAGTCTATATATCCTCGGCATTGCATTAATTGACAACTTAGTCCGTTGACATCCGAGTGTTTCAAAGGCTAAATAAGTGTCGGAATTTCAGAAATACCATCGGCAAGTAAATGCGACTTATAACTCGCATTCCTGAAATGCGATTTATAAGTAGTATTGTTGAAATGCGATATATAAATTTATTGCATTATGTAGTAATAACAAGTCTCATTCCTAACATGATTTATAAGTCACATTTTAAGTTAATGTCATCTCTGTTACTTTAATTAACTTACAACACATAAATCGTATTTTGCATTTTGCATATTTTTGAATTTCTCACAAAAAGTACACACAGGTGAAGTGTAGGAATCACATGCACCCATTAAATTAAACTAATCCAAGGGAACCAAAAACCAACGAGAACAAAGTTAAAAAAGAAAGAGGTAGCTAAATAAAAAGTCCAAAAGCAGAGAAGAAATCATAGGAAGAAGGCAAGTTTATCATAGAAGAAATCACAAATCACCGAATCATTTTGCATTAAACATCAAATGTACAAAAGCAGTATTTATGAAAATTTAAGCATAAAACAAAACATAGGAAAGTTAGAAAACTATAGGTATATTCAGAATGAAAAAAGAAAAAGTAAAATACATTTAAATCTCTTTATAACAGTTTCGTTTGTTCCGATATTTTTTGGTTGCTGCAGTAAAGTATTGTTATAGAGAATCATAACATAACATAACATAACATATAAAATTGGTTCCAACGAAAACTGGGACGTTAGAACTTAAGTGGTCACACCACAACTCAAAATGTTTAAAATTGTAATTCTTTAGCAGTTTCCTATTCCTCTTTAACATCTACTGCATCCACTTCTCACCCTTCTATTTTTTCCTATGAACTATCTTCAAGAAAATGGAACAAAATCTGTGTCTTTATGTTAACTCTTATCCAAATCATCAAAACCATTTGCTAGTTTTCTGCTTATGTTTTTTCCACCAGGTGGATTCACTGCTTCCTCTTCATCCCAATCGTCGTCCCAACTCTCATTCCACCCTTCAGCGTTAGTTTCCAACTTGATGGAAGATTGAAGTTCTGGTTTTCCCATTTCAAGTTCTTGATATGCAACACCATCAAGATGTCGATCTTGTTTTCTTAACTTGCAGCAGATGAATAATATTCCTCCGATTAGAAGAGCTGTTACACCTAGCAAATATGCCCCATTTGTGGGGGTAACATACTTAGTATAAGAATATGGCAAGTTAAAGTAGCCTTGCCATACTGAACGTCCCATATCAATCGTACATTTTCCAGTTCCAGTGTCTAGTATAATTGATGAATTCGCTCCAATAATTCTAGACGAGATATTGATCTGATTCACAAAATGAGAAATTGAAAAACATGGAATCAGGAGCAGCACATTAAGTTCACTTTCATGATTTGGAAGATTGAAAAACACGGTCATAGAAACAACACATTAATACATTCTCACCATATCACTAAACGAAAAAGAAACATGAGTAAACTAATGTACAACAACAAACCCTAAGTAATCCCACAAGTAGGGTCTGGGAAGGGTAGTGTGTACGCAGACCTTACCTCTACCTTGTGAAGGTAGAGAGGTTGTTTGCGATAGACCTTCGGCTTAAGAAACAGTAAACAGGAAGCAACTAACAATAACAATAAGAAAAAGATAAAGACATAACGTGTAATAACAAAGATCTAGAAAGAAAAAAAAACAGAAGAATAGTACTAATAATACTGGTAAGAATGACACAACATGGAATAACAAAGATCTAGGAATGATTAAACTCATGTCAAGTTCATTTTTGAGTCAGAACTGAACAATAATAAGCTTTATTTCTTCATTTCAGCCTTTGATAATCCAGAATTCGTCGATTGATACAAAAAATGAAGAAATAAAGTTTATTGATGTTATTTCGTAGTCTTGGAAATTGTCAGGACAAAAGCCAGTAATTCAGAAAGGAAGAGTTCTTTACCTGCTTGACATCATGTCTTTGTATCTGAATATTATCATAAGTTTTGTTTGCAGGTGAAACATTGACCTTCACCATCAAAGGGTTCTCGCCGTTGTTGTGGATGAACAAAAATGATTCCTCATGTCCTACAATAAAGCAAAGTTGTGTTAGGACAAGAAAGTTGATCATTCAAATATAACACAAGAAAATGATCATTCAAATATAGCATAATATAATATAATTGAAATGTAAACCAAATCATATGCATACATATAGAAAGATGTTTCCCAGCTGATTCCAGGGCATCACAGGTAAGAAGGCAGTACTAAGAATTAGAAATGTCGCTATAATCCAATGCGCTCCTTGTGGCAAATTTAAAAAGCAAGCAAATAATAAAAGATAAACAGCATTTCAATCGACAGAAAAATATTACGAGAAGAAGAGGAAAACAAAAGAAACCACCAAAAAGATGGTTCAAAAAGCCAAAATAGCTTCAGTTGATGTTGCTGAAAGAAGAACCAAATCCATTTGAAGTTATTTCCTAAACAACTACACTTAATAGATGGTGATATCAAAATCATATATCTTTTCTTAGCAAGGACTCATTTTCAGCTACTATCAAGGACTAGAAAGTAGAAAGAAGGAACCCCCATTCCCCCCACAGTTTTAGAGCGCGTCTGGAAGATTACAACAAAAAAATACTGCTCAATGACAAAGAGACACTAACTTCGATAATGAAGGAGAAACGAACTGCAGAAACTTGAATTCATGAGAAAACTAATCAAATCTTGCACGGATATGTGGACGGCTAAACCTTGTCCATAGCAAAGCAACTTTTGACAAAAATCCAGGTTATCTTTCAGATATACCACTTCAATTTTTTCACCAGATTTGAGTCTCGGTATTGTAGTTCACTTACTCTAAACTATAGTAGTTCAAAAGAATATGTTCACCACCTCATCTGCTCATTTTTAGCTATGTTAATACTTATCCTCCAGACCATATGCTAATTGTAAGGACAAACTGAAGTGCACATTTTCTTTTGAGGGCTACAAAAGTCAAGGTGCATGTGTGTCTGGAAACTCTTATGTACTTCTCTTTTGTTTTCTTCAATGTTTCAGAAGGTGATGTGAGCTAAGTCACTTTGCAAGTTCCTCATATGCAACCTAAATACACAATGTGATATGCTGATTATGTTGGACGTAATTCTTCGCTTGTTTGACACTTGCAATGTCAAACAACTTGCTTTTCAAAGGCGTCCACAATTAGCTTGTACTACAAACAAGGCATCCAAGATGACATAATAGCATAATATTCGAAAAATCCACGTTGTCACATTCATCTAAAATAAGCTGTTACTAAAAGCGCATTGCAACCCTGTCAAATATCCAAGCTGCTCCGTAGAATCCAACCCTGCTCTTCAGTTTTAATATGCTTTTTGAGCCATATCGACATGAACTTGCCAGAAAATTTACAGCATGTTGTTCATATCACTACAGATCATAATAATTCATTCATAACAGATGAAAGAAAAGTGAGAATAAATGCAATAATGAAGTGCTACGTTCTAATTCAAGCACCAAATATACTATATTTGTAATCAGTTTAGCAATCTAAAAATTACACAACCACAAGGAATTACTGTATCTAGTAAAAAAAAAGAAATGGAGAATTACCTTTCTTGGCAGGAAAAAAGCAGGCAGTCATACTGATATGATCATCCTGACACTTATTAGACGCTCCGGCGCAGCTACCACTAACAAAAGCCGCCGTTGGTTGGCCTACAGGGGCTTGATTAGTACCTGAATTCGCGTTAGCTGCAGCAATAAAGCTTGGTGATGGGGCTACCTGAATAAAAATATGTTCTTTAAAATTCCACGGTGAACAAATAAAGTATATAGAAACATAAATATGGACAATGTCAGTATAAGCCTATAATCGCAGCTGGCCTCAGCTTGAACTAAACAATTTTTTTAAGAAAAAAAATAAAGTCCATTTGCCACAATTTATGTGACGACGTTTGACTAGCTACGATGTTTAATAAAAAAACAAAAAGCTTTTAAAATTTGCGATCTAAAACAAACAACAGGCATTAACGTGGCTATAAAAATAATGGCAGCCTGGTGCACTAAGCTCCCGTTATGCACGGAATCCGGGGAAGGGCCGGACCACCAGGGTCTATTGTACGCAGCCTTACCCTACATTTCTGCAAGAGGCTGTTTTCACGGCTCGAACACGTGTCCTCCTGGTCACATGATATCAACTTTACCAGTTAGCGGCTCCCCTTCATTTATGCGGCTATAAATCATCATAAAATGAGAAAGTTAAAGTTAAAATATTTCTAAATAAGGAAGCACGTTATTCTTTTGGAAACAGACTAAAAAGAAAAGTAAGCCACCTGATTATCTAATTTTGATCGGGATTCTGGAGTCTGAGCTAAATGTTCGAAAGAGTGTACATAACGTGCATTGGATGGCTGAAAGGAAATTGAAGTAAGCGTAATCAGTAACATAACCAATCTCCAAAACACCATTTTTACTCTACACTGTAGCACAATTGTATTGTATTCAAGAACTCCAGAGTTCATGATATGGAAAAGAGCAGAAAAGGCTCATAAATTTAGAGAAATCAAAAGGGGAAAAGATGATCATGTATTAAAGAGTTTCAAAGAGGAAGGAGACAAAGACAAGCAAAAGAGTTGACGGACTAAAAGAGGAAGACAATTAATTAATGACCGCGTCAATGAGTTATAATAAATTCTTATGAAAATTCTTCAGTCTCTATTAATTTCTTCGTCTTCGTCTCTCACATTTCATTCGTTTACTTTTTCTTAGCGTTACGTAGTCAATATGGCGTGCTTCAACGTCACATTCATTCCGTGGAAAGTCACCAGTCTAAAAGCCCACGCCTTCAGCGGCGGAGCTAGATAGCGAGCTACCGGTTTGTCGAACCCGGTGGCTAAACCATGTATTTATTTGATGAAATTCATTAAAAAAGTATAAATTATTAATTTAGAACTCAATTACTTAAAAATAATTAGAATCTCGAACCTATAAGCTTTAAATATTGGCTACACCTATACCCGCCTTGCCCCTTCCCCTACGCCATGACCTTCCTTTCGGCTTCTTCTCCTTTCAAGTCTCCGCCATTCTTTTCAAGTTAGCTCTGACTTAGCTCTGTAAAAATACTCCCTCTATTTCAATTTGTTATTGTAGTTTGACTTGGGAGGGGAGCCTTGCAACAGAACTTTATCACGGGTTCGAGCCATGAATGCAGCTACTAATGTATCTTATGTGATTCTTTCCCGAACCCTGCGTGAATGCGGAATGATTTGTGCAGCGGGCTGCTTTTTTGTTATGGTTTGACTCACGGCGGCTCCAAGGCTTTGGGTAGTAAGGCCATTGCCTTAGGCCCCCAAATTTTGAAGGCCCCAAATTTATTTTAAATTCTTATTATTATTGTTACTATTATATATTATATAATTTATATAAATAATTAGAATAAAAAAAGTGTTACAGTATATTTTTTGTTACTTGATTGAGGTTATTTTATACAATAAATTTATAAATTATGATAATTTTCTTCCCTCATTAATTAGTATATTTGACAAAAGTGTGTTACTCTAGTGGTGAGCACCCTTCACTTCCAACTAAAAGGTTATGAGTTCGAGTCACCCCAAGAGCAAGTTGGGGAGTTCTTGGAGGGAGGGAGCCGAGGGTCTATCGAAAACAGTCTCTCTACTCCAGGGTAGGGGTAAAGTTTGCGTACAAACTACTCTTTCCAGATCCCACTAGTGGAATTATAGGGGGAAGTGCACGGTTAGCCACTAATTAGAGATGTCTTTACTTTTTAGTCACCGTTTAAAATGTATTTACTTTTTAGCCAGTGCTTAATAATTTTTTACCCGCCCGGACAAATATATCCCTGTGCTAATATTAAGGACATCATGTCCTTAATTTCATATGTTCAGTGTAAATGTTAAGGACACGACGTCCTTAACTTCATGTGTGTAGTGTAAATGTTAAGGACATAATGTCCTTAACTTGTATTTGCACCTTATATTGTTAAACTTTAGGACCTCATGTTCTTAACTTCATATGTGTAGTGTAAATATTAATGACATGGTATCCTTAACTTCATGTGTGCAATGTAAATATTAAGGACATAATGTCCTTAACTTTATGAGTGTTGTGTAAATATTAAGGACATGATGTCCTTAACTTCATAAATACTGTGTAAATATTAAAGACAAAGTGTCTTGTATTTGCACATTCCGTTGTTAAACTTTAGGACATCATGTCCTTAATTTCATATGTTCAGTGTAAATGTTAAGGACACGACGTCCTTAACTTCATGTGTGCAGTGTAAATGTTAAGGACATAATGTCCTTAACTTGTATTTGCACCTTCTGTTGTTAAACTTTAGGATCTCATGTCCTTAACTTCATATGTGTAGTGTAAATGTTAAGGACATGGTGTCCTTAACTTCATGTGTGCAGTGTAAATGTTAAGGACATAATGTCCTTAACTTCATAAATACTGTGTAAATATTAAAGACAAAGTGTCTTGTATTTGCACCTTCCGTTGTTAAACTTTAGGACATCGTGTCCTTAACTTCATAAATACTGTGTAAATATTAAAGACAAAGTGTCTTGTATTTGCACCTTCCGTTGTTAAACTTTAGGACATCGTGTCCTTAACTTCATATGTTTAGTGTAAATGTTAAGGACACGACGTCCTTAACTTCATGTGTGTAGCGTAAATGTTAAGGACATAATGTCCTTAACTTGTATTTGCACCTTTTATTGTAAAACTTTAGGACCCCATGTCCTTAACTTCATATGTTTAGTGTAAATGTTAAGGACATAATGTCCTTAACTTGTATTTGCACCTTTTATTGTAAAACTTTAGGACCCCATGTCCTTAACTTCATATGTGTAGTGTAAATATTAAGGACATGGTGTCCTTAACTTCATGTGTGCAGTGTAAATGTTAAGGACATAATGTCCTTAACTTTATGAGTGCCGTGTAAATATTAAGGATATAATGTCCTTAACTTCATAAATACTGTGTAAATATTAAGGACAAAGTATCTTGTATTTGCACATTCCGTTGTTAAACTTTAGGACATCATGTCCTTAACTTCAAATGTTCAGTGTAAATGTTAAGGATACGACGTCCTTAACTTCATGTGTGCACTGTAAATGTTAAAGACATAATGTCCTTAACTTGTATTTGCACCTTCCGTTGTTAAACTTTAGGACCTCATGTCCTTAATTTCATATGTGTAGTGTAAATGTCAAGGACACGGCGTCCTTAACTTCATGTGTGCACTGTAAATGTTAAAGACATAATGTCCTTAACTTGTATTTGCACCTTCCGTTGTTAAACTTTAGGACCTCATGTCCTTAATTTCATATGTGTAGTGTAAATGTCAAGGACACGGCGTCCTTAACTTCATGTGTGCACTGTAAATGTTAAAGACATAATGTCCTTAACTTGTATTTGCACCTTCCGTTGTTAAACTTTAGGACCTCATGTCCTTAATTTCATATGTGTAGTGTAAATGTCAAGGACACGGCGTCCTTAACTTCATGTGTGCAGTGTAAATGTTAAGGACATAATGTCCTTAACTTATATTTGCACCTTCTGTTGTTAAACTTTAGGATCCCATGTCCTTAACTTCATATATATAGTATAAATGTTAAGGATATAGTGTCCTTAACTTTATGAGTGTTGTGTAACTATTAAGGGCATGATGTCCTTAACTTCATATGTGTAGTGTAAATGTCAAGGACACGGCGTCCTTAACTTCATGTGTGCAGTGTAAATGTTAAGGACATAATGTCCTTAACTTATATTTGCACCTTCTGTTGTTAAACTTTAGGATCCCATGTCCTTAACTTCATATATATAGTATAAATGTTAAGGATATAGTGTCCTTAACTTTATGAGTGTTGTGTAAATATTAAGGGCATGATGTCCTTAACTTCATATGTGTAGTGTAAATGTCAAGGACACGGCGTCCTTAACTTCATGTGTGCAGTGTAGATGTTAAAGACACTATGTCCTTAATATTTACACAGCACTCATGAAGAAAGGGTAACAACATCTTTTCGTATTAATTTTAATAGAGTAGTGGCTATTTGTGCTCAGCATTAAAAATACTAGATAAAAACTAAATACCATGTTAAAAAGTGGTTATCCCACGTCATTTTTTCGAAATTATACTGGGATTAAGGGCCTCCGAATATGGTTTCGCATTAGGTCCCGATATCTGTTGAGCCGCCCCTTGTTTGACTTGATACACAGTGGCGGAGCCAACTGATACCCCCTTGCGGAAAAATGCACTATGTAGATAGGTGAAAACTATTTTTATAGACATATATAATATATGTTGACTCCGCTTGATTTTTTCGTATATTTACTTTTATATACTTTGATGCCCCTTAATGAAATTCTGGCTCAGCCACGGTTGATACTAAGTTTAATAAAATGAGAAAGTTTTTTTTAGAACTTGTGATCTTAAATATTTCAAAATATTTGACTATAAAATTTTTAAAACTTGTGATTTTAAATAAGTTATACTATTTGTGTGACTATAAAAGCTTTCAACACGGAAACGTGAGAGACTTGTTTTGAAACGAACTAACAAGTAAATAGTGACAAACAAAATGGAATCGAAAGAATACTTCTTTTACATTATTTGAAAAGATAACTACATATAGGGGTTTATAAAGGTGAAATTTATAACTTAAGGGTTTGTTTGGAAAGTCACTTGATTAGAATTGGTATAATTAGTAAGGTAGTGAGATAGACGCAGGGAAAGGGATAATAAGAAAATTTGATACCTAAAGCAAGTTGGCAGAACAAAATGAATAATTTGAGTATTATAGTAATATAAATTTAAATTTCAGTATAGACAAACAAAACATTATATGAGCTTTTTTTCATTTGTCTAATCATTGACTCAGACAATGATACCCACCTTGTGTTTTCAACGACCATCAAATTGACCAATGTTCTTAATTTTCACTATCCTTAATACAAACCTAATCGAAATCGCACCAAATCGAAAAGTTAAATCGAACCGATTAAAAAACTTAACTAGATTTGATTTGATTTGATTTGGTATTGAGTAAAAAAATCTGAACCAAACGGACATATAAATATATAATTTTTTATATTTAATTTTAAGACTTTATATAGAATTTTATTTAAAAGATGTCTAGAAATATTTGAGATCCTCTCATGTGATATAATATTTAATTGAACTATAAAGTTTATTTATTTTTATTTACTTTAAATAATAGATTGTATCAATTTCTTATTATGTGTTATTGAAATACGTCAATTATCTCATTGTTCTTTCATATTCATATGTCAAGATTTATTATGTGTTTTTCGAATTTGAAGTGTTGTTTCGATAATTTAAAATTACTCATATCATTATTTAGGTATCATATTGATTTTTATGTTTAATTATTAAATTTGGTTAACTTTGAAAGCGTACATCAATAAAAAATTATTGGTAGACGACTAAGAAAATAAACTATTATGTGTTATAAAAAAAAATTCTCCCATAAGATCACTTTAATAGTCATATGTTTGTTATTTTTTTAAAATTTTTTAGTAAACATATATTCACATATCAAAATTTTATCTATAACTTTAATAATGCAAGATTGAAATTATATTCATGTAACAAAAAACCTGAAAAACCCGAGACAAATTCGAACCAATCTAAACCGATATAATTAGTTTGGTTTGGTTTTGATAAAATCCGAACCAACCGGTCCATGTACACCCCCGGCAGATACATTTAAACACTTACTACGGCGTCGTTTTATCTTCCCCACCCCCAAATTCCTAAACCCCCAACTCTTGCCATCTTTTTCGCTAAAACGAAAAAATTCCACTTCCTTCGTCACCAAAAATGGAGTTTCTCTTCAATCCAAACCTGCAATTCTACTTACGTTCCAGAAATTAACTTGAATTAGGGTTTTTTAATTGACAGTGCCTATGGCTTCTGAAGAAATGGGCCTGGTTTCGACCCGACGAGTGGAAAATGGACTCAATTCACACTCACAGCTCGTTTTCCATGAAACCTTCAGCTGCGGCCCACCACCACCTCCTCGTCGCTGCGCCGCCGCCGTTAGCGGTGATCCGGGCCCCAAAACGACCCGAGAACTTACCGGATTCATCGACAAGTACGATAATAACCACCACCACCATTACTTCACTCATCAACAGCAAGCTGCTGATTTTCGCCGTCAAATGTTCGCCGACGACCGCGGTGGCGATGGATCAGAGGATGATGACCTGGATGATGACGAGGATGATGGCGATAATGATGATGAAAATGAAGCTGAAGGCATCGTTATAGTTGAAAATAGTAATACTACTACTACTACTACTAATAATAATAATAACAGTGATAAAGTTAATAATAACTGTAGTAGTAAAATTGGCAGTGAAAAACCAAAAACCCTTTCTGCATTTGGTAAGTGTTTTTTGACAATTTCTTATATTTCCTAGTTTGTTTTTCTAGACTCGGACTTGTTTCGGTTTGATGCGTAGTTGACTATTGATTTATTGATATGTTGAAGAAGGCGCTAAGGAATCAGGAAATGAGGGCAACATACACGCGAGAAATGCAGTGACAATTGCTAGTGTTGATGGGGAGGTGTATTATAATAGTCAGTATTTGCAGGGAGGGGAAGGGTCAAATGCAGGGCCGAAGGAAATGGGGTTTGAGAATGGGTGTGGGTTTAGTGGGAGAAAGGAAGGCTGTTATTCAAGTGAATCAGGAGAGTCTTTGAGAGCTATTCTCTCCGATCCAATTATGTAAGTTTCTTGTCCTGTACCCCCTTCATCCAATTTATATGATAATGTTTGACTGGCACGGAGTTTAAGAAAGAAAGAAAGAGTTTTGAAACTTGTGGCAAAAATAAGTTATAGACATTGGTGTGAGTATAAAATGAAAAGTTTAAAGTTAAATTGTTTCTAAATATAGAATGTATCACTCTTTTGGGACAACCTAAAAAGGAACGAGTACCACATAAATTGGGTCAGAGAGAGTAATCTGCTTTGCCTGTTCGCTTGTTTTTCTGGTTTAGCTGCTTGGCTTTCTATATCTTAAGTAAAGCATAAATTGTGTTTTGACCCTAGTTTTTCTTGAAAAGGCAAGTTAGTTAGTATTGGAATGAAATGGGCCAAATGGAGGAATTGAATATAGAGGATCCTTATAGATGGCCTCAATCAATTTTGGATTGTGATGCAGATGATTGATATTGATAAATTTGATGTTAATAATATCATTAAATGTTGTTTGCTTTCTTGGAGCTCTTAGTTTAGACATCGGACAAAGACAATTAGGATGATCTGACATGTTAATATATTTGCAAGGTCAAGTGACAACTGGTGTAAACGAGCAACTAGCAGTTATATGCTAGAGGTTGCATTTAGGCGAATGCATTAAGCTGCAGCTATGTGAATGCAAGTAAAAGTAAATCCTGTAGGAGAGCATATTGTTTTAGCTTTAATCAAGCGTGATCTTGCTTGAGAATAAAAGAGTATAAATGCTATCTCTAATGCTAGCTCTAGTTTCTCAGTTATACTGTAGGTGTGCTCTGCTACTTCCTTTCTAGTTATAGGAAGAAAAGAAAAGGGCATTTGGTGGGATGAAATGACTTCTTGAATTTTACCTAGATGACTCTTGTAAGTTTTTTTTCCGAATCTGGGATGGTTGTCATTTTGCCAAACCAACAAAAAAGAAACATAAATTGCACCCAAGGGTGTGGCCTAGTGGTCAATGAATCGGATGCAAACCTTGGAGACCAGGGTCAAATTCTAGTAGGGACAAAAAACACTAGGTGATTTTGCCTAAGTACTAGTGAATAGAGTTATCCGATACCTATGTTGGTGGGAAGTAGTAGGTACCCAGTGAAATAGTCCAGGTGCGGAAATTTAACGGTAGATTGAATGTTACTCCCTCCATTTCATTTTTTTGTGAACCTGTTTGATTGAGCATAGAGTTTAAGAAAGAAAGACTTTTGGAACTTGTAGCCATGACATTTCTGTGGCTATATAATCATGACATTAAGGGTAAAATGAAAACTTCTAGTTAAATTATTTCTAAATATAAAAGGATGTTTTTTAAACAAACTAAAAAGCAAAAAGAAAAAAGTGTCACATAAAATGGAAAAAAAAGGAGTATGTTGTTAGCTTATGCAAGTTCCCCCCTGATTTTCATTTAAAAAGTCTTCCGAATCCCCATTGGTCAACAAAATGTGCTCTTTTTGGAAAATGGCTGAGGCGTGCTTTTACTTTTTCATTCTTCTAATATTTAAGGGATCTTATCTGTTCTGAGTTATCCAATGATGATGCTTATAGTAGAGGTTGAAATAATATTATGATTATTTGCTTATGTAGTTAGGTGGTTTCTTTCCATATTTGTATTTACCGTTGTTGGTTCATGCATTATTTTATTTGTCCTAACTTAACAACACATGCTCTTGTAGTCTCTTTCTATATGTTATTTGCTGTTCCAGATATTATTTTATCCATCTGGTTACTTGCATCCACACTTGACATCGCGCTGTCAATTTCAGGGGAGCGCTCATGGATGATGCAATGATATTGCCTTGTGGGCATTCCTTTGGTAGTGGTGGAGTGCAGCATGTGATTAGAATGGTATGTCCTCTGGGAACAATTTATTACCAACTTTCATTTATACTCGATATTAATTGCATTTGCATCTAAACTTCTTTATATCTCTTTCCTTTGAGGATTTTGATATTCAATGCTGCTTAATCAACAAATTCTGTTTCAAGATGCATTAGATAGAGAGACTGACAGCCTTATTGGCATAATAGGAGAAAGTATGTTCCTGAATTTGGGGTTTGGCTGTGGTTTTTATGCTTTTTTGATTTAAGTAAGCATCTTTTGAAAAACTTCTCTCCGCTTTCAGTTTAGGGGAACTGCACTGCATTTGATTACATAGTGTGATAACCAAGAAAATACTAATATTCTTATTGGTTGGAGAGAGATGCAAATGGCAAAATCAGATGCAAATGCCTTTAATTTAAGATTTGAAATTTATAGGACCAACTGTTCTGAAACCATATCACCTCCAAAAGCTGTATATGGACATTGCATGCTTATTCAATTAAATCTCTCGTCCCTCCTGTCAAACAAAAATAGTTACAGTAATCCTCTGTTTGCACTATCATCTGATGTTGCTGCACAAAATATTTATGAATCTAAGTGTTTATCTTTTTACCGTAGCAGGTCTAGTTATGACATTTGTTGATATCTAATGAATGTATGTATTCACATAAATGCAAGAGACGAAATTTTTATTGGTTTTTTCTCCTTTCGTTAAAAGTTAGTTTTTCCTTTCACATTTGCAGTAGGAAGTTGTCTTCTCGCATTTAAGTTGGCTACAAGGTCCTAGAAAGAGAATATGAATATGTGGGACTAAAAATTCACGTGTGCCACTGGACTAGTGCTAAAATAAGTTTCTAATTAGCCTTTATGGTGTAATTGCAGAAAGCTTGCTATATCTGTTCACACGTGGTGTCTGAAGATTCAGTGGCGCCAAATTTATGTAAGTATATGTTCTGTACTTATGGTAGATTTAGTATACCATTTCCTCTGGTTTCTCTAATATTTGATGATCTGTCTGGTGAATGCCAATACATATTCAAATGTCTGCTGCCGTATAAGGGATATTGCTAGAGGTGTTCATAATTCGGTTAGGGATATTGCTAGGGGATATTTGAATCAGCGCAGACTTAACTAAAGATAGTGCATAATGGAAGAAAAAGATCCATGTAGGTGATACCTACTAGTTGGAATATAGGTTTTAGTCCTATTAGTACGCTTTTCTAGGAGTAGTTTGACCTTATCATAGATTGATATGCAAATGAAAATATAGAAACTTTTAATATTTTTATTATTATTACCATCTTTATGTGTATTTTTCTTATTTTTCGCTTTTATTTATTTGATATGATGAAGAAACATTGTCGGTGAGGATTCATATAGCCGGCCCAACTTATTTGAGACTGAGGCGTAGTTGTTGTTATGTTTAACCAAAATACCTTACCGAACCAAAAATCTCGGTCTTTTGGTTTTGGTAATTCGGTTCGGTGTTTGGTTTGGTCTCTAAAAGTTCAGCAATTCAGTTTGGTTTTCAGTTTTCTCCATAAATTATTGAATATACTGAAATACCAAACTTTTATGTATTTAAGTTTTAAATGTATATATGAATTGCTTTAATGATATAATTTATTATTTTAAAATTTTATAATTATTTGAATTTATCATTGAAGTTTTATAATTATTTTGAATTTATANTATATATATATATATATATATATATTGATTTATATAATTATTTATTTCAAAGTTATGTTATTTTAGAGGCTCAATCAAAAGCCAAAACCAATCCAAAATGATTTTTTTTGAACAAAACCGAATTTATTTCCGTTTTCAATTTTAATAGACGCAAAGTCCAAAAAACTGAACTGAACTGACCAATGAACCACTCCTAGATATTGCCATTCTTTTAAGTTCATTTTTCATAACATAGGTTGCAAGGATTGGAACATAACATAGGCTGCAAGCATTGCAGGAAACCATTTACTAGACCTACCAGTTACAATGAGTTATAAGCATTTCTTGTGCTGAAAAGTACTCATATATTCTTATAGCTTTGTCGCCAGGATCATTGAGGATCTTCAAGCACATGTATGGACCATTTTCAAAATACAACCAATGGGTTTTGGTGGATAGATGGATCGTTAAAAACCCATGTGATTGAACCTTTCGCTATTATGTACCTTGAAACCCAAAGCATCCTCACAAGCCTTCATGCAAGTTTCTTGAGAGCAAGTTTGTGGAACTATCCACCACTGCATGACCCTATGAGTACATGGCTTGAAGGTTCAGAGCGATGACACATTTTGTGACCCTCTTTAAGACATTGCTTTTTCCTCTAATTTAGAATACTCATTTCCTATTTTAGCCTATTATTTTAAGTTAATTCCACTGACCTTCAATAACCACTTTGACCGTTCATCTGTAGACATCTCACCCTAGCTTCCGATAAATTGACTTGTCCTCAGACATCCTTTAGAATCAGTGAATCACCTCACATGCTTCTTAGTGTGCACACCTAATGTTTCCACATTTGGAATGCGCACTTCTACCTTTATAAAAAAGACAAAAACTAAGTCTTCTTTCTCGATCACAGTATAGAAAAGAAAATCATTCCTTCGTCATGCTTTCTATCTCACTACTTTCGCATATTAAACTGCTTAGTCTATTTCTGAACCACCATTGCTCCAGTGTCCATTCTATGTCATCTCTATCATTTTCACTTCTTTTGGCAAAGGCAACTCTATTCTTGCAGTTGATTTCCAAACTAGAGGCAGCTAACTTAATTTCTCATAGCAGACTGAGGATATCTAATTAACAACCCACATGTTTTGGCTGTAGCTTCAAATCTAAGTTGCTCGGACTTGGGTGCGGGTGTCGATACGGGTGCGGATCTAGAAGTCAGATTCTTCATGATCTATATTTTGAGATTTGGGAGTACGGATCCAGGTACGAATACGGGTGTGGGGATTTGGCTAAAAATAATTCAAATATCTAAAAATAGAGTTATAAAAATATATCTAAATTATTCAGCTCAAAAAAAAATATGTCTAAATTATGAGACATTATGTGGAGAACTTACAAGGTATTCCGAGAAGGACAAAATATTGATAAGAGGAGAATTCGAGAAGGAGATAAAAGGAAAAGGACTGACATAGAAATTTCTATATACAAGGTATTCCATTTTCTTCAATTTCATCCTAGCACTATTGTATCTGTCCGATTTTCTCCATCGATTTTGGTCAAAATACCCAAAATCGGTTGACCAGATTCGGTACGGATCCCACACCTACGTCGTATCGACATGGGTGTGGCACCGAAAGTGAAGAGTCCTTATTTAGAGTTAGAAGGGCTTCGAAACTCGTTGCATTAACTTGTCAAAAAGTAAGTCTGCATTAAATCAACTGCATAAATTTCTTTGCTAATGCCCTGGGGCTTTGGTCTGGCGGTAAGAGCACAACTCATGACGTGTGAGTTAGGCGCATGTCACTAGTTTGAACCTTGCAAGCAAAAGCTTGATATTTAAACTGAAAAGGTAGAGGAACAACCCCATTATCCATCGAGTCTCGTACCGCATGCCACTGGCCCTCGAGGATCTCTTGATTATAAAAGAAATCTTCTCTAACATCAGAAAGTATTGGCTCTATCATATTCATAAATGTGTGACCCCAGTTTTACACTATATTTGAACTTCTAGTCAAACCTGTCCGCACTTGGAAGAACATAGATTGAAGGGTCTTTATGTGCTTCACTGGTCCTTTATGCATTTTAAAGGTGTGAAATGAGGCTAAGAGTTAGGTCATATAGTCCTATTTTTCTCTGTTCTTTCTGATGATTTCTATTTGCATTTCCATATTTCTATAGCTCTTCGAGCTGCAGTTCAAGCGTTCCGCCGAGAAGAGGAATCACAGCTTAATCGTTCTTTCAAAAGAAGAAAGGAGAGATATGACCAGGTTTGCCACTTTCAATTTTTTTTTAACCTATACCACGACCTGAAATTAGGTGGAAATAATGTTAGAAGTTGTTTAATTTGGACTTAAGATAAAAAGAAAAATCAGGGAGAGTTACATTTGATTGTCCTTGTGCTCAGAAGCCTGACTTTACCTTAAGGCCTTAATATCATATCCTGATGCAGGATAGAGGGACCTTTGGTGATTCACCGCTCTCGGATCATCTAAGAGGAAGAGGCGTTCAGTTTCCATTTGCTGTCACAGACAGGGTTATTATAAAGGTTCTTCCAGTAATATCTGAATTTCAATTACATTTCCAGATTGGTTGTGAATGGAGTATCTAATTGAAATTGTTGATCAAATAGGGTAACAAAAGGACGCCTCAGCGTTTTGTGGGTCGTGAGGCTGTTGTTACCACTCAGTGCTTGAATGGATGGTACATCTCATTCTTTGCATCATTTAGTTTTTCAAATTTCATTACATCCTTTTTTACCTCTCAAAGCGATTCACCATAATTTGTAAAAAGTCCACTAAAATATCCTTTGTGCTTAGGCTCTCAACATTTGAGTTCTATATATCTGTTAAGCCTAAAAGGTTATAATCTTCATAAATCTGGACTTCTCTCGCCCTTGGGGCTTTAGTTCACTGGTAAGACGTAGCATAATGTGTGGGTCGAGTTCGAACTTTGCCACAGAAAAAACTCTAGTATTTAAGCGGAGAAGGTGGACGATTGGGCCCATTATTCATCGAGTTCGGATCTTGCGCCACCTGATCCTCGAGAAATTCTCAGTTATTAAAAAAAACTCTACACTTTTCTAGCACATAGCTCAGTAAGTGGTATGCCCTTTGAATTTTAAAATGCTTTAGTGCCAGTCAGACATGCGAGGGTTAACATATTTCATTATATTGCATCCAGATCTCTGACCTTTGAAATGCTTACTTTGTGTAAGTAGTTTATTAAAAGAATTCCTCAGTCACTTAGGTTTTTCGGCCTTATTATATAAAGAAAAAGAAGAAATGTTAATCTTAAGTTTGTTGCACTTTGCTAATCCCTTCGAACTTTTTGTCTCAAATGGTCTTCATTGAACTTTGTCAGAGAGGCTTCTGAGTTTTGCCTTTCGACCTAATGATATGGTATTCATTTTAAGTGCACTGCTGAATCCAACTTATTCAACTTTTTCGTTTTTCCTTTTTTTTTCTTTGTGGAGTATATCTGGATTTTACATCTATATAATTGACATCGCGATTTGACTTCTCGTCATCTTGCAGTATCTGATAAAATTCTTCAAGTACATGTCTAATGGTGTTCTGTATTATGAGGAAGACGGAGTCCTAGGTTCAACCTTTCTTAACACCGAGAAATTATTACCTCTTATTGTGAATGTGTCGTATTCCTTATGCCACGCTTAATAAGCACTGCTCAAGATGTTCTTAAAGATTCCAACTTCTAATGCCTCACTTTACCTATGAGGACTGACTCCTTATTTGAATGTACAACTTGTGCAGGTATGTGGTAAAGACACTAGACAATGCTGAGAGTGTAAAGTTGCAATATCGCTCCCTAGCGAAGGTTTCAGGTAACTTATCAATCCAGCCAATATCAAGTAAGACGGCAGCCAATTGGCTGTAGAGTTATATTCAGTAGAATGACCATAACTCTCTCGTCCTAACCTACTGCACATATGCCACTTTTGATACATATAGTCTAACTAGCGACAAGCATGAGTTCTTTCAGCTGTAATCTTGATCTTGTATCTGTTCCACGCGATTCTCAGGCATAGGTGTTGTATATTATAAAGGTTGTCTCGTAGCACTACAGCCTTGAGATGTAATCAGAGATATGAATTATAGAGCGACACTTGTATAAAATAAATGAATTATACGGAGTCATTTCCACAGGACTTTGTACTGACTGGACATTTCAGAAATATGAAGATTAAAAGTAAGCCATATGCTCTGAAGTAAATCATATTCTCCTATCTGCATTACCTTCTGAAGCTCATAATATCGGTTCTGTGCATATGATAATAGAAGCCAAACATGATTTGGTTGAATTTGGAACATGGTTCTTATCAACAATCTTAAGTGATGCTGGGGCAAGCTAGCCAGGTAGCAATACATTAAATAATCTTACTAGTGCGAACATCAATGTTTCCATTTTGTTTTTCTCTCATAACCATATTGCAATTCAAATTGTAATCTCTTGACCACGGAACTGTTCAGCTATTGTAGATATCGAGGTCACAAGAATGATTTTTCACTGCTCAATTTTTTCTGTCTCTTTACAACCAACAACTTTTAAACTGTGTCAAAGCATTCTCCCTAAAATTCTTAACTCTTACTATACAAAAATGAGTGCAAAACAATCCCATTCCTCTACCAGCTCCAACTCTGCTTGTCTTCAACAGATAACAAGCAGGTCCAAATTCAACTCCTTTCCCTTGTACAATTAACCCCCAAGATTTTGTCAATCCTTCCTCTAAATCTTCTTCTAATGAACCCCCTTTTCCATTTTCATTTAATTCTCTATCTTCTTCATCTCTAAGTTCTTCAACAAATATTAGTCCATCAGGGGTTCTTTTTTCTCCATTTTCCCATTCATTTTTCATTATCTGCCATTTCTCCACTAAGGCTCTCTCAGTTTTGATCTGGGGGTCTTCTCTTTTGCCCTCTATCATCTTCTTGCGCGTAAATGTGGACCAGTAGTGGCGCTTGCTTCAAGTTCTTTACAATGTCCACCATCGATTCCTTCATCCACTCGTCCAGATTTTCAAATACTATGGCTTCCTTTCTTTGATCATCTTCTTTCACAACTCTGTCCCGGGGCTGTGGATTTGATAGAGAAAGAGAAGCAGAAACACTAAGAGGCCTCCTTTGCATCATTTGATTAGAGATTGGGAGAGATGACTTTGAGGCAAATGAATGAGTACTAACACATTTTGTGCGTATCATTCTTGTGCACAGGCCATGTTAATCTTCTCTGTATCGTTCCAATTTTATCCAATGTTCCTACGGGAACAATAGGATGAATCCGTAACGACGTCATTTTGAGAGTATATATATCAAATTACTGCTAAAATTGTCTCTCTTACCGGGGTTTTATTTCCCCGGAATGGTTTTTGTTTAAGGATTTTGAAGACTGGTGTATATGAACAAAAATATTATTATGTTATGGCCTTATGGGTGCCATTGAAAAGGTGACACGAGCATAGAATGCGCAGTTATAGCAAAGGCACAAGCAAGGAATAGGTTGGGTGAAAAAGGCACACGCCTTGCCTTTGACATGCATTGCTTGAGACCAATCAAATTCATTTGTTTAGTGCTGAGGTGGAACCAATGATATTTTTCCACGTTTATGAAAAGATGAAACACCACATATTACAATTCTCTGAGGTGAGAGTTTGGTTCTTTGGCTATTTGTAATATCTACTTCCATCTCTCAAAATGTTGGCATTTTTGTTTTTTATGATATTCAAATTTAGTAGACTTAATTATATGTAAGATTTAAACTTTCATAAAAAAAATGTAACGGTCCAAAGTTGTATTATTCGAAATTTGTCAACTTTGCGGTCACGACCCCAAATTCTCTCCGTAGGACGTCGTGATGACACTTTAAGACTAGGTAAGCCTATCAATTATGCGAAATAACGGAATCTAAAATTGAAACTCAAATCTCAACATATGAAATAAATAAAAATTGCAATTTAAAATAGTTATAACTCCCAAAATCCGGTAGAAATAAGTCATAAGCTTCGAAGAGAAATACTAAGTGTCTTTATGCATCAAACAACATAATAAGGATAGAGGGGGACTCCGAGGTCTGCGGACGCTGGCAATTATACCTTGAAATCTCCGCGTACGGCTAGCTCACTGATATCTAGTATGATAGGAAATACCTGGATCTGCACAAAAAGATGTGCAGAAGTGCAGTATGAGTATACCACAGCGGTACCCAATAAGTGTCACGCCTAACCACGGTAGAGTAGTGACGAGGTCAGGTCAGGCCCTACTGGAAATAATAAAAGACAGGGCGAAAAAGTTTAACAATATAACAATAACAATAACAATAACAATAATAATAAAAAATAATGGAAGTGAATCAAGGTAGGAGTATGTCACAATTTAACTGCACAAAATAAGGGAAAATAATACATCACAGAAGAAAAACAGAAAAAATTTACATATTCAGGGAAAAACAAAACAATCAAGGCAAGTACACCAATAGAAAAATATCAACAAGGGCACTCCCGAGGTACCGCCTCGTAGTCCCAAATCATAAATAAATGTACAATATCTCTTTTCTTTATATCACCGCGGGAGCCTTCACATTTAATTTTAAAGAAATCATTTTTCCCGAAATAGCATTCCGCATTTTAGCCACCCTTATCACACCGCATGACTTTTAGTAGTTCCCCTACTAGCCACGCATATCAAGCCACCCTTATCTCACCGCATGCGTTTCAACACCCAGACCTTATACCACCGCATGCATATCAATATCACAATATATCACAATTTGCACCTCAAACGCCCAAATATTTCAACTTGCCAAAATAAATCAACAACATTACTTTCTACAATAAGGAGCTCACGACTCAATCACAATGAACACAAAATCTCATAAAATATTCGGGAGTGAATAACTCAATAAAAAATAATATTTCACAAATTTAACACTTTGCCTCAATATCAAAATTTTAATGTCAAATACTTCATTTTAATAATAATTCAATTAAGAAATTCAACCTTCAAATATTGAGCACAGAATAAAAGAAACAAAGTTTCAATTAAACATGTAAAGAAATTAGCAAGAAAAGGTAAGGCAAATATAAAATGTAAATTTAGACCAATGATGATAAATATAACCGAATAAAATAATTTAATTAATATGTAATAGATATCTGTACAATTTAAAGCCAAACTTTTTCACATTTAGCCCGTGTACATACTCGTCACCTCGCGTACACGACTTTCAACATATCACAATTATTATATCAATACCAATCCTAAGGAAAATTTCCCCCACACAAGGTTAGACAAGTCACTTACCTCAAATCTCGCTCAATCAGTCAAGTAGTTTGCCTTTTCCTCGATTTTTCAACTCCGATCAGCTTGAATCTAGCCAAAATAATTTCATACTATAAATATAACTATAAAGAACTAATTTAAATAATGAAATTACGACTTTAGCAAAGAATCGAAAATTCGGCCCAAAAAGTCAATCCGAGCCCACATCTCAAAATCGGGTAAAAGTCACAAATTACGAACACCTATTCGACCACAAGTCCAACCATATTAATTTCACTCAAATCCGACCCCGAATCGACATCCAAATCTCAAAAAATCGTTTTATGAAATTTCTATAATTTTTCCTAAATTTTCATCTCAAAATACTAAGTAAATGATGAAAACAATGATATATTCGTGTATATTGACCAAATCCGAGTTAGAATCACTTACCCCGATGAATTTCTTGAAAATCCCACGAAAAATTGCCACAAACCGAGCTACCAAAGTCCAAAAAAATGAGATGAAAGCCTCGTTTATATGGTACCAATCTGATCTCCCAATGTGCTGACCGCACATTTTTTTTGTGCGGTCCGCACATTTAAGGTTTCTGCGGCCGCAATCCAAATTGTGTGGTCGCAGTTCAGCAACATCTGCAATCCAAAAATGCAGGAGGATTTTCGCGGTCCATACATTTTCAACTGTGGTCCGCACATCTTCAAATGTAGTCCCCACACATTTTCCACTGCCTTCGCACTTTGGGAGTTTGTGGCCGCACATCCGTACTCCAAAAATGTGCCCTCCGCACTTCAACTGCTCCAGGACATTATCAAAGTGCCGAAATGCCCAAACTCGTTCAAAACTCACCCGAAACATACCCGAGGCCCCCAGGACCTCAACCAAATACACCAACAAGTCCTAAAACATCATACTAACTTAGTTGAGCCCTTAAATCACATCAAACAACGCTAAAAACACAAATTGTGCATCGATTCGAGCCCAATGAACCTTAAACTTCAAACTTCTACATCCGATGCCGAAACCTATCAAATCAAGTTCGATTGACCTCAAATTTTGCACACAAGTTATAATTGACATTACGGACCTACTCCAATCTCCGGAATCGGAATCCGACCCCAATATCAAAAAGTCCACTCCCGGTCAAACTTTTCAAAAATTCATCAAATTTCCAACTTTCGTCAATTGACGCTAAAATGACCTACGGACCTCCAATTCAACATCCGAACACGCTCTTGTGACCAAAATCACCCTACGGAGCTATTGGAATCGTCAAAACTCCATTCCGAGGTCGTTTTCATATACTTGAAACTACGGCTAATACTTAGAACTTAAAACTTCCATTTTAGGGACTATGTGTTCCATTTCACTCCGAAATCAAAAACAAATCCTCCCGGCAAGTTACGTAACCACAAAATGAAATAGAGAGAGCAGTAGATAGGGGTTCGGGACTAATACTCTCAAAACGACCGGCCAAATCGTTACATTTGCCATCCGTTACAATGTTGGTTCCTTCGTACTATTGGCGTTAGCAAATCATCTAATATTTGCTTATCATTGATGGAGCTCCAACGTGAAATGAGTGGACCGTATGTGTCCAAATTATTCAAGAATGATATATCCAAATTTACCCCTCAACTTTTGACTGTTTTAAGAATTACCCGAAGGTAGGAGCTCTGTTAGGGATGAAGCGTAATTTGTCAAACAACTGAGGTGATATTAGATTAAAAGTACTAACAGAGGGCAGCACTGCTCAATTTCGAATAGGAATGAAACACAGTCCTTGTATTTGTATGAATGCCACATGGCAAGAATAAAAAGCCCTCTCAACGTGCATTTCATTCTCCATTTCTTTTTATATGAATAAACAACCTTTCCCATAAAAAATAAATGATTGTGTGATTATTCATTTTCAATGGCAAATCGAGAATTTTAATTTGATGGGTCGATCGTTAAGGTTTTTAGTACTCAATTCTATGTACCTTAAAATTATAGGTTCAAATATAATATTTGTTAAAATTTTAATAAGTTTTCACACGTAACACGTCGAAAATATTGGGTTCAAATAAACCTGATGCGAACCACTGGATCCGACCCACAGCTATAGAGGGTAGTGTCAAGCCACCAATCCAACTATCCAAGTGACCCAACCTATGGTTTTGACAAAAATAAAGGTGTTTCAAGAAGTAGAGTATAGGAATATTTGGTGTAGGGTTCATTATTTCAACTAACTAATAGAGTATAGGAATATTTGGTGTTTCAAGAAGCGACTTTTCATTATTCATAATTTATAATAATAAAATTTGACTAAACAAATATTTAATTTTATAATTAAGCATAATGATAATGTATTATTCAGTTAACTATTTTTTTTATTACAAATAAAAATACAATTCTCCCCTCAAATATGAATTAAATATATGAATACTAGATTGGAGTTTTATAAAGCTCCTTATTGAATTTGAACTGAAAATGCAGAAATAATAGGTTAAGGGCCGTACCTTAATGATCCCTAACCATATTGATGTTTCTGAGTTATAGTTTTTTCTGGTAGTGTGTTCCCTAGACTAATAGATTTTAATAA